TATTTCTGATGAAATCTGAGGGCTCTCTGACCCTCCCATAGACAGCAAGGTAACTACCACGATCAACGTCCAGAAACGTAGCAAGGAGATCGTTAAAATAATCCATGTGACATCAGCGGTTCAACCATAATATTACGAAGCTACGAGAATACTTTGTGCGCAAAAGGAAAAAAAATTACTCCCCAAAATGGCGCTATAGGGTGACACAGAGGAGACGAATTGCTGAATAAAGTCATTATTTATTTTTCTTTTGTGCACAAAAAGTATTCTCGTAGCTTCATAATATTACGGTTGAATCTCTGATGTCACATGGATTATTTTAACGATCTCCTTGCTACGTTTCTGGACCTTGATCGTGGTAGTTACATTGCCGTCTATGGAAGAGTCAGAGAGCTCTCGGATTCCATCAAAAATATCTTCATTTGTGTTCTGAAGATGAACGAAGGTCTTACAGGTTTGGAACAACACGAGGGTGAGTAATTAATGACTGAATTTTCATTTTTGGGTGAACTATCCCTTTAAGTTTTCAAAAAGAGACCCGTTTTCTGCAAATTAAAAAGTCGTACGGGTTTAACAACAAGATTACGCGGTGAGCAAATTGTTCATTTTTGGACAATTATAAAAAATGTATTTAAAAAAAAAAAAAAAAAGCAGTTAATAGTGATGCACCGAAATTTCAGCAACCCAAAAACATTAGGCCAAAAAATTAAAATATTTTAAAAACTGTTCAGGTCACTGTTTTCAGACCCCATAAAACTGTGATGTTTTATTACAAGCTGGTTAAACATTTAATCCTTAAAATATACTAGTATCTGGTATGCAGCTAGTACGGTAAAACTTTATTTTAAGGAACAATTCTCACTATGAACTAACATGCATATTACTAGCATATTGTTTGTTTATTAGTACTTATAAAGCACATATTAATGCCTTATTCTGTATGATCATACTTTAGATCCCTTAATCCACCCAATGCCTAAACTAACAACTACCATACTAACTATTAATAAACAGCAAATTAGGAGTTTGAGGCAAAAGTCACAGTTAGGAAATAGTGAGAACTAGACCTTAAAATAAAGTGACACCAAAAAAATCTTACTGGTAGCATTTGGAATAGGTACTAGTATCTAATAAACGTGTATTAATATTTATCGAGTAAGTACTAGTGTCTATTGTGTAAGTACTAATATCTAATGAAAAAAAACACTAGTATCTTTTAAAAAATTTATCAGTGTTTAAAGAATAAGCACTAGTAGCTAATGAATATGTATTAGTACCTAATGGAATAGATACTAGTAGCTAAAAAATAAAAAATAAAAAAGTACTAGTAGCATGAAAAATAGATACTAGTATGCTTAATGATTAGTAGGGATGTAATGTTGCACGCAAATTTCACAAAGAAATGTGCAACATTTTGTCTGAAATACAAAAAACCCCGACATTTTCATTTATAATTTGCCTTAAATCTCATTTTGTTAAAAAAAAAAATTGTGAGGAAAATCGTATCATGAAATCAGTATCAAGAATTGTATCACATCTTGTGTTGAGTGAATCGTTACATCCCTATGCTACTAGTTTTTGCTGTGGTATCGAAGTAGTAAATTGTTCTTTAAATAATAAGTG